TATACACTTGGGTATTTCGAAGTCGTCCAACCCCCCAACTCAATTTTCAATGCCGTCGCCACCCACTCCGAGTGGATGTTGACTGCACTCCGAATAACCTGGGCCGGGCAGTCGAAAACCATGCCTGTCGCCATATCCATTTTCGACATATAGTTTGGGTTTTCCTAATTTTCTTAGTTCTTGGAGTCGTCGTACAGCGGCGGTGCCTCAGCTTCCTCCACCATCAGGCCAACTTTCTCTGACGTCATCGGCTCCTCACTGGCGGTTTGTACAGCTTGTCCTCTGCTATACGGGCACAAACCAAAACGGCCGTCTCTCTTGCCTCGGATAAACGATGTAAGTTGGAAAAATAAGCTACATACAGCCATGGCAAACCTATCGATGCATTAGTAAGGGTCGACCAACTGGAAAACAATTCAAGGGGCAAGGAGGGAGGGAACTGACAGAGCTACACCAACGCCAGCCGTGATACCCATAAGGACAGGCAAGAAGATCTGAGCAGCAACGTTGGTGACAAGGCGTCCCCATTCGTGCCGGTGCTTGCCACCAAAGTTCTGATGCGGGTGCTTATGGTGAGCCTCGGGCGCATCGTCAGACTCAGGCCGGATAGGGTAGCTCTCAAGGTATTCCTTGTTCTTGTCATGGTAAGGTCGGCGATGGCAGCCCTTGAATGGTTTGAAGCTCTTTAGGGCCTTGAAGACCTCCTCCATGACTTCCTTCGCGGTACAAGCCATCGAATTGCAACTAGATGATTTGGTCGATGTAGTGTCCACATCAGTAATGGCGATTTCGCCCGAAGGCGCCTTGACGAGCTTCACATTAACAACAGGGACGCTGTCAACAAATCGGTTTCCCACTTCGATGACCCGCAGTTCAACATCGAGAAGCTGAATGTAAGAATCCTGCTCCATAAATTCTGGTGCAACCGCTAAGCTGTATCCCAGTTTCTGCTTTGTTGATTCGCCATCCGTACTCTCAACAACGGCAGCCAGATCGCCATGCCAGGGATCGGCATTGGGGTAAACTTCGAATCCATTTAGTAATAGCCTCGTGTGATCGACCACGTCGAGGTTCAATTGCAAATGGCTGTTTTTGCCTTCACATTGCTTGCACGGAACAGAAACCTTGTGAGATTCTGCTGGAACTGGCAGTGACAATGGTCCAGCATGGATAGGGAGCGCTTTGAATATGTTCTCGTCCGCTTCGGAAAGCTCGGGGATGATGACGAATCCAGCGGCCGCGACCGCGAAGGCGAGCGGCGTAAGCTGCATTTTGAGGTAGCCGCAGTGCCTGCCTAGATGCGTTGGCAATGTGCAAGGTGAAAGAAAAAAAGTATAAAGCGGTAAAGAGCGGTTCTTTAGTGTCGTACAGCAGATATAGGAAGCAGGTTGTGGAGGGAAGAAGAGGAAGACCCGGCGTGGCGGTTGGGAATCAAGAGAATATGAAGCCAAAACGTATGGTGGACTCGCTCGTACCAGCCGACCCGTTTCCCGATGCGCCAATGCCGTTTGCCGTTGTAGCTGCTTGCGTAGGGCTCGTCTCGTTCATGCAGCTGCGCACTGTACGCAGTGGCACTGGAAGGTCCGGGACCGATTTGAGAGGCGAACAGGGAAGGAACTGCACTGAGAACCCCACCCTGCCGCTGGTCCCCATTCAAGCGCCCCTTCAAGCGCCGCCACACCATGGAGTTCTGGGGCTGTCGCATGACTGACTTGATTGCAAATACCACTTTCATGGCATTAATTACCCAGCTGCACGCGCCGTGTGTGGCCTTGATTGACCTGAATGTCATCTGGCGGCCATGTTGTCTGTGGCCATCACCAGCCTCCCTTATCCATGTCATTCCTGTCGGCTTCTTTTTTGTCTTTGGAACAAGTGTTTCTTCTTCCTCCGTGTGACGTCCTCAGGTCCTGTCTCCGGCTTCTACGGACCAGAGTGCTTGGCATTGCCGGCATGGCCCCACATCGCCGCAACATCGAATCCTGATTTGGCATTTCTGGTAGACACGTACTCCGTACCAGTCTCACTTTCCGTACAGTGCATGCTTGGCAGTCGACGGGCAGCCATAATCTCCGTATTCGTAACACCGTTTGTCAGGAAACCTGTCTCGCAAGTCTCTTAGAACAGCAGACACTCCAAACATGGCAAACCATGTGTGGTACGATTGTTGTTAGCGCCCTACAAGGTTAGCCTGTATTGCGTTTTGAACATATCATTTCACAGTACACATCTCCGTTTGAATCACTTTCAAGAGCCGACATCTATAACCAGCCAATCACCATCTGTATCTGTCAGGCACTCTGCAAAGAATAATGCAAGCGAAAAGTCATTCTGAGATAATACCATACATGCCACTTCGGTTTGCCAAGTTTCAAAAAAAAAAACAATAACCTTGCTGCAGCCACCTGCATTAAGAAATCCCCTTTCTCAACCACACACATGGTTCGTAGTTCCATATGAATAAACCAGTTTAACCGTATCTGTCAAGGGTTACCGAAGTGAACACAACAGGCTTTTATGGGTCGATCATATTGATTGACGAAGCAAAAGCTAAATCCCTTTTGTCAATGAGCACTACCTCTGCTCCATGGCAAGTATCCTTTTAATTTCTGGAACACTTCCCTTGCCCTCCTTGGCCAAATACCTCCCTCCACCACGCCAGCACCAAGCTGGGCGACGCTCTGGTGCCGATGAATCGGCGAATCACTGCCCCACGGAAAGTTTGGATTGCTGGGCAAGCTTGTTTCTGACTGCGGTCCTATCCTATCCGTGGGTCGAGGATGGTTCGAAATTCCCGGTCTTGGAGAATCTTCACCGCTTCTCACCAAAGTTGAAAATGTGGTGGGTGCAGGGTCAGGATCTATCTGTCCGTTAGCGAGGTCTCAGTTTGGGGCGAAAATTGGATAATCAGACCCTTACTTGATATTATATTGGACAAAGATGTTATTCCGGGGTCATTGGAGTTTGGTAGAGAAAGGCACCGAGTTACTGTCGCTGTGCCATTATCAAAGGTGGCACAACTGGCTGACATGCTACTGACGTCAAGGCTAGAAGATCCATTGACCATTGTGTCGGTGCAGATTGGCACTAACGTTACCGTCGTAACTTCAATACCAGAGTGATCGGTGTATGTAGCCGACGGCACAATTTCTGTTTCGGTCGTGTTTGGATACAGAGTTGTGCTCTTAACTACCGAAGGCACTTCAGGTTGACCCGATTCAGTTCCAGTAAAGGACGATGTATTTGTCGGCCAGAGTGTGATCTCACTTGGACTTAAAGTCTCAGATTGACTAGAAATGAATACACTATCGGTTAGCCTATTCGTTGTAAGGTTCACACCCTGGGTCCTACTCCATGAAAGTACTGTTGATTCAGTGGTAACGGTAATTTGTTTGAAGGACGACTCTGCTGTGGTTGCGTCCGGATCACCAGAGCTTGTTGGAGCTGGCAATCCAGTAGTTGAGTTAGTCCATCTAGGCGTGCTTGTGGAACTTGAGCCACCTGAACTGGTCACAAGGGGGCCGGTGAGTGTAGAAAGCGAAGACGAAGTGCCTGTGAAGACGGATGTGCCAGAACTACCGGACCCTCGGATAGTAGTAGCTCGCATGCTGCTAGATTGCTCACTTTGGCTAACCGTGGCGGTCGAGTTTGGTAGCACTCTAATTGTTGACGTCAACTTCCTAGTCAACGTCCTGGTGGAGGTTGCGTTCATGGTGTTCGTGGAGCTGATCCTGTGAAACCCAGAGGACGATGCAAGTGCGGATGAGTAAATGAGAGATGTAGAGTGTATTGTGTTGCTGTGTAGAGTTTGTTCAAGAGAAGTGGAATTTGATGGAATTGGAAATGGTGGCAACGTCTTTGTTGTCACATTAGAACCTGGATTGGTAGAGAGCAGAATTGAGCTTGGCTGATAGGTGAAACGAGTTCTTGAAGAGGTGATTCGAGGTCTGGACGTAGGAATCGAGTTACTATCCGTAGAGTTATGTTTAATAGGATGCGAAGGAAGGCTACTCCAAGCTATGCTCGTGATAGTTCTCGTCTGACCAACTGTTGTTGACCACGGGCTGTGATGACTGATATTGGAGGAAGTAGAAGTGGTATTTTGAAACGGGGGAAGTGTAGATTTCAGAGTAATCGTCTTTGTGGCCCAGGATGAGGTCTCTCCTGATACTTTCGTCGATTGTTGCGACCTGGTAGGGGAAACCACGGTACCCAAGACAGAGGAACTCATCCATGCGGAACCGGAGCTTCTATTGAGCGAGATGGTTGAATTGGATGGCACTGGAAATGGCGGACTTGGAGAACCCCTGGAAATAGTGACAATAGATCCTCCATGGGAAAAAAGACTAGTCTCTGTTGGACGGGGAATAGTGACCGAAAGAAACACAGTCGCGGTTGTAATACCTGTGACTAACGAGACGCTGCCTGGCCTTGATGAAACGGATCCTGGCAGAGAGGAGCCTTGTATGGCAACAGACGACGAAACAACCGTAGAACTACCAGTTGTACTATTAGCCCATGTGGAGGAAAAGTACGATTTGGTTCTTGGAACGCTATCAGTTTCTGTAGTTGACGCTATCGAAGAGCTAACAGAGCCCGAACTGGCCCGGTGGCTGTTCGTATGGGTCTCTTCAGCAGGAGTACTTCCAAATGATGCCGATTCAAGGACGGTGGTCACAGTTTCTTGAGAAGAAACGATGATCGTTGTTGTGATGAGCGATATTGAAGGCAACAGTGTTCCTTTGGACAGCGAATTCCATGATGAAGTTGATACGCCCCACGATGCGTTGATATTGCCACTTTGAGTGCTTGTAACTATCTGAGTGACTGTGGCGATGGAATAAGATGTTTCTGGAGTGGCAGAGTTTTCGTTTGTAGAACTCAAAGTTGCGGTAATCGGCAAATTTGAACTCTCAAATGACGCTGCGGAAGAGACTACTGAGTTGGTCACTGTCACCTTCTGAGTCACTGTTGCGGTTCCGAGGCTGCTAGATGTCCCTTCAGCGTTCGAGATCAAGGTATTGGTCTTTATGGCCGTGTCTGATGTCAACGTAGCTGTGACAGCAGATGTGTGACTCGAAAGGGAACTTGGGCTGGTCACGGATTCGGAGTTGGTTGCTCCGTCCTCGGTAGAAGACGAATGCTCCCATTCTGTGGAACTGGAAGAAGTCGAAGCCCCTGTCACTCCCAACGCCGAGCTTCTCACCCAGGAGTCTGATTCTGTCGATAATAGTGTCGACTCAGATGCCGATCCAGATGCCGACCCAGACTTGGTGCCTGCCGACCTGGTTACAGTTGAAGCGTAGGTCAATGTGGTGTATTTGTCACTTGTCGATGGAGGCTGGTCGGTGACGGTCAGAGCTTCTGGGCTGATGGTAGTCGCCGAAGTCAAAACTTTGAATTCCCGTATTGTTAGCATCATGTTTTGTTTTGCACTTTATGGAACACTCACAAGTAGAAGAACCCGAGCTGATGATCAAAGTTGCGGTCGAAGTTGAAGTCTCGTACTGGTATGGAGGCGGATATCCGTAACCATAGCTCGGTGGCCCATAATCCGGAGGTGAATCGCGAGGGCCAACACCAGAGAGATGACCAGGTTCAGGACGGGTTCCGTATTCAAAAGGATTGTCAAACGCCTGAGTGAAGGAAACTAGAAAACCTAGGATGAGGGCAGGGCCAAAGGCCACGAGTATCATTGGCAGCTTCATTGAGCAGACGGTGAGGGCAGGGAATGCTGTTTTACTAGAATGTAAGTTGCCAATGCCGTAGAAATCCCAGTTATTTAGGACAAAAAAGAGTGTCTGATTATCCAGGATTCTTCAAGAAATTAAAGAGTGTATACAGGACAGGTGAGTGCCAAGAAAGGTTCAACGAAAGAATAGGATCAATTTCGAAAGAAAGAAAGACGCGGTGTCTCCAAACCGTCTCGATATCTCAAGGGCTGAGGCTCGAAAGACTTGCGGATACAGGAGAAACCAAGGGTTGATAACAAAAAAAGGTAGGGCCGGGGCGCGAGAGGTGAAGATAACAAACTTGGACAAACGCGACGGCAGAGCCTTTTCATTAATGTCAAGTGTCGGCTTCACGCGAATCGTTTATGACAGCTGGCAGAGTCGTTTACGGCAGGCACGACTGGCGGTCCTGACCTCATAGACACAGAGCATAACAGCTGTCAATGGACTGATAAAAAAGTTTCCCATTCTCATTGGAATCACATCTGGACACATAATTTATGGACAAAACCCTGGCTCACGTCCTGTGCTTGCGCCTACAGTTGCTACTATGGGTGTTTGACGCATCTGGAGCAACATCGATTGTGGGACAAAACCATAGGCGACGTGCTTCTACGTGTCGAAGCAAACTCTTGATCGAAGGAAGCCGCCCCTTTTGACCATTTCAGCTCTGGGCTGCAGCGTATTACCGAATATCGACCATGTCAGCATTTGTTGCTCGACGTGCCTGTTGCACAATACAGCTCCTGTGCGACTCAATTACTTCTACGGCTACCTGTGAAGTGTCTAAAGACCTAGGTAGGTAGGTGTTTGATTGCTTGCTGAAGAAAAATCACTCTTAGAGACAACGGGGTATGCCTGCCGTTATTGATACGCATCCGTTGCTCATCGGCGGGACCTATCAAAGTGGAAATGAGTCGTGAAACGGTTCATAGCAGTTCGCCATCGCCAAGTACGCAGGCAGCCGTGGAACGGTTGCACAATCGATAATGTACCTGCAAACCATGCGCGGTCGAATCTACCCGTCGGTGTTCGCTTCGCTAGTTTCACAACATCTTCTGTTCCTAAGCCCCGGCCAGCATATCAAACGGTTTTCTAAGAATGGCGAGCCGGTCCAAAACGATGGGGTCGAGTTTGGTAAAACCGTCAATGTGAAAGGGTTTTGAATACATAGCCCTGGCGACTTGTGGTCAAACAAGTTGACGACCAACAGAAGTTGGGTCTCAGCGTCGTCGCAAATGGTGGCACCACAAGTAATCAGATGCCACAGCCGAATATCTGTTGAAACCGACACAGCCTGGATGCTATACTCGAGTTGACTTCTTTACGCCATAGATCTTTGTTGAATATCTATTTCTACGACCTGAACCACTTTACTCACGACCGTGGACCCCAGTGGCAAAATTCGTCCATCTCCAACAAACGAGCTAGCAGCTGCAAAGGGGGAGCTTGCCCTGCATTATGGACTATCACAAGCAACCGTGGCAAGTCTTGCTAATTCGACACCATGGATTAATTTACACTGTCGCACATCTCGGCTATTGGAGCTTCTTTGCCGCCTCTCGAAGAGTCGGTGCCGTTTCATCCGTCATGTTTGTGTTTAGTTCCTCGATATCTGCGGCCCACAATGCGGCCCCGACTGGTAGCTGTTAGCGTCAACGATGCATTAGAATGACTGTGGAATAGCATTACCAGTATTGGTGTAAGTAAAGAAGATGTTGGCAACGGGTACCATTTCCAGCAGAGTGGCCACGAAGCCGAATCTGGTGGTAATTGTATTAGAGGCTGGACTTGAGTTTCGTTGACGATGAGGTAATTTACTCACGCTGTGTAGGCGCCGGTATGTTTCTCTAACCAATCGCGCCGTTGAGAGGCCGACCAGTTCTTCAGCTGAAAGTACTGTTTCATGATGAGCCGAGACGACCGAAAAAACAAGACACACAGACAAACTTACGCGGCCATGAACTAGGGTCCCCCTGGTTCGAGCTACACAATTTGTTAGCCTGGAACTCTTATCCCCGGCAACGCGGTGCCATACCTTGAAGAAAGAGAAACATAGCTGTTCCAACCACAGGGATGAAATTGAGAGGTAAATACATGATGTATCGAATAATAGCCGTCGGACTAAATTTCGTAAATGGGCTCTTCAAGGTTTTCCCCAGCCTTTTCATGGGGTCACTTCCGGACTTGACCTCGCGGCCCTCACGGACCATGTTGATGGCATTTCTGGAGATGAGGGTGCCATCAAAGGTGTCGAGAATTGACTGTTGCAGGATCCAGTTCCTCGAAATCATGTTTGTGATGGTCGAGCTTTCATTCAATACAAGCAGGACTGTCGAAAAGACAGCCAGGGGACCACTGGTGAAGACAAGCACAGCAAGCTGTGGGAGGTAGGTAAAGGCAAACATGCCGCCAATTACACCCGCAGATAGGCTGAGATACGAGCCAATCTTGGAAGTGAACGGCTGCCAGAGGGATTTATGCGAAAGGAAGTAAATAACCCCCTGGGGAAAGATTAGCCATGATGTGTTGCCACAAAGGTAGACTTGGTAGACGGTCGTACCTTGATCGGATATAGATAGGCCTTGCTCTTGAGCGCTTGATATGCCACACCCTTGGCTTTGTTTAGATCCTCCTTACTAGGACCGGTAAGTCGGTGAACTTTTATGAAGGGTGCGGAACAGCTTACAGAATTCCCTGAGCCTTCTCGTTGACGGAGTTGGCGACACGGCTGCTTCTGGACTTGCCACTCTTGGAGTTGTCTGCCATTGTTATTTTTTTCACAGCTTATCCTAGCGCAGCACTAAAGAGAGTACAGTAAGTGAATGATGAGAGTGTAGCCACGTAGTGAAGGCAATCTAGGCAGATGGCGGAGCGTTGGTAGTTTGGCGTTGAAGTGTCGTGGTGTTTGCACCGGCAATGCGTCTTGTAGTAGTCTTGGAATAGTCGTAACGCACATGTGCATTCTGAGCTCATCGAGTCGGCGTCTATGTCGTCATACTGGGTTGCGTCGGTGCGCCAAAAAACAGGGACAGCCCTCTTCGGACTAGTGCCATCAGCTAGAGTCATTCCCTACTACGTAAGTACCTCGGTAGGTAGCTATCAGTCGCCTCGTCTACGTTGCGTTTGTGATTTTCACAAGAGATTTGCGATTGTAGCTGATGCACAATTCATGTCAATTGACAATGGCCAAATTCCGGGGTAAGCAGATAAGCGAACATGGCCCCATGTTATTCTTACATACCCGCCGGGGTCCGATTTCCCGGGGGACTCGAGGACGCCGCAGCTGTTCAACCACAGGCATGTACTCTACGCTTACAAACATTCTATTCCAACCAGCCGCGGACGAAACGAGGTCTGGGAAACGCAGCGATTCAACATTACTTTGAGCACAGCGCCTCGCAATATACGTCTATGGTGAGCGCAGACATTGGTGAACAGTTGTCAGTTTCGTGGCTCCCCCACACAGCTTATGTCTTCTTCAGGGCTTGAGGGGGGACGAGTTGAGGGGAAAGCCAGCCATGGTCCGGATGGAGGACACCTTGTGGCGTTGATATACACCACTGTATCAGCAGCGCTCAATCGAGAATGAGGACGAGAGAGAAAAAAACAACACATTTCATCCCTTCGCCACGCCTGGTTGAATTCGCTGCGCCTTTTGCAGGGCATTTCTCACCATGGCGCAGAGACATCTCCCTAATACGATGCCCCTACAGCCGCTGACGGCAGACACAACAGCCCTCCTCAGGCAGAGTCTAGAGGATATCGTGCAGCAAAACCCCCCTCTGGACGAGCACCAGGACAGCCTCTCCGGTCTCCTGTCCGGGCACACCGCCCTGGCGTACCTGTTTCTCCGAACGGCCCAGGAACACGCCGGCCTGCAGGTCCGCGGCCACGGGTGCAAGTACTGGGCGGAGCGGTACATGGCGGGCGACCGCGGCGCGCAGGAGATACAAGACAGGAACTGCGGCCTCGCGTGCGAGAAGCTGGCCTTTGAGGCCGTACGGGCCTGCGTCACCGGCAGCGAACGGGACGTGGCCGCGTTCCTCGACAACATCCCCGGGCTGGCGGCGCGCGAGAAGGCGTTCCCCAGCGAGATGCTGTACGGGCGTGCCGCGGTGCTGTACATGCTTCGCATGGTGAGGCGATTCGTCCCGAGCAGCGCGGGCCCCGTGGACGAGGCCATCGGCAGGATCTGCCAGAGGATTCTGGACACCAGGGACAGCAGCGAGGGCGACTGGCTGTGGCACGGGAAGCGATACTACGGCGCTCCCCACGGGGACGTCGGCATCATCACGCAACTCGTGCTGAGCGATCCTTCTCTGGCGCCCAGGCTGGCGGCCCGCCTGGGAGAGCTGCTCGACTTGCAGACCGAAGGTGGGAACTGGCCTTCCACAGCCGAGGCGAGGGAGCGCGCAGACAGGCTCGTGCAGTTTTGCCATGGCGCGCCCGGATTCATCTTTGCGCTGCAGTCCCTGAGGCCGTTCTACCCCATGCTCCGGGAGAGGATCGATGAGGCGATTGCAAAGGGGCGACGGGTTATCTGGGCTCGGGGCCTGCTTGTCAAGGAACCGTGCCTGTGCCATGGCCTGTTTGGGAACGGACTGTAAGTATAGCCAGCCAGCCGACCCTTTGTATCGTGTCGTGCGGCCGGCTGACCTGTAGAAACACCAGAGCTCTTCCCCGCGGGGAAAAACGAGACCATTTCCTGTCTCTCGCGACGCCGGATTCTCTGCAGAGACTGCGCAGCGACCATCCCGGCCTCTTCAGACACGGAAGTTGTGGCACGTCGTCGTCTCCCCTGTTTAGCTACTTGCCCAGCGCGGCGTGGACCTGGACCGTCTCCAACGAGGATGAGCCGCGCATCATTCTGTTCAATGATGTTTAGCCGCACACCGGAGTGCCCTTCCTGAGCCGCCGGAGGGAAAAGTAAACAAAAAATAAATAAACATTTCCATTATGTATTCATTCGTGTG